AAGGAAAAGCTTCTTCCCACCAGTTGAATTTATCTACCAGAAGTAGGAAATATTTCAAATTTGGTCCTCCAGGCAGATGGGTAAAATCTAACTGCCAGTCCACTCCTGGATGGCAACCCATCCCCTGGCATCTAGGAGAGCCGAGGCATTTATTGGAAGGATTAACCTGCTGGCAGAATTTACAACTTTAGATGATCTGTTGGAGTTTTGTCTTTTAAGCCCCGTCCTGAAAACATTTTTATATTAAAATAAGAGTATTAATTCTTTCCAAAGGGTAGAAGTGGTGGAAAGATTTAAAATCTTTCATTGTAAAGCAGCTGCCTTGGCTACTACATCTGCAGTCTTATTTCCTTTAGCTATTGTGTCCTCTCCCTTCTGATATCCAGGGACATGGATAACTGCTAGATAAGAGGGCAGGGAAATTGCCTCTGGGAGACGAAGAATTTTCTTGGCATGTTTAACAGGAGTGCCAGCAGTAATTGCTCTTTCCAGATAGCTGCATGAGCATGAAGTATAAGAAAGGCATATTTGGAATCAGTATATATGTTCACCCTTTTATCTCAGGTGAGACCAACTAGTTCTGCCAGTTGGACTCTGGTATTGATGTGAAGTTGCCCTAATGTAAGAACCTTAAAATCTGTTACCATTGTATACCCATATCCCTGTATATCCATCACTCACCAATGAACTCCCAGCAGTGTACAGAGTAAGAGGTATAAGATGATCAAGTAAATACAGTCTGGCAGCATTAAGTGTTGTTAGAACTTTCTCATAAGAATGGAGAGTTTTGTTCCTCTGTCTCAGGTAATAAAGAGGTTGGATTGGGAATCTGATAGGTCTTTAACAAAAAAAAGCCTGATATTTGAGTATACTTTTCTCTAATGACCATAGACTACATTTAGAATTTAGGATTTCTCCTATGTCATGAGAAGCAAATATAACCAAGGGTTTATGTGTCTTATAGATGGAGTCCCACTGCAGTCATAGCTCTAAGACTTCCAGGCCATCCCTTGGTCACCTTGTCAAAAAATGGGGGCATGGGCTGGGGATGTGGCTCAAGCGGTAGTGTGCTCGCCTGGCATGCGTGTGGCCCGGGTTCGATCCTCAGCACCACATACAAACAAAGATGTTGTGTCCTCTGAAAACTAAAAAATAAATATTAAAAAAAAAATTATCTCTCTCTCTATCGCTCTCTCTTAAAAAATATTTTTAAAAAATGGGGGCTATCTCTGAATCCTTGGAGAATGACTCTCCAAGTAACCTGTTCAACCTTCTAAGTAGGATTCTCAAAGGTGAATAGAAGCTGGTTTCTCAAATGCAAAGGAATATAGAAAAAAACATCCTTTAAGTCTAGGACAGTATAATAAGTAGTTCCCTGGAGAATCTGGGTTAAGGAGAGGATTTGGAACCACTGAATGTAGAGGAACTACTGTCTCATGATTATACAAAGATCCTCAACTAATCTCCATTTCTTGGGGCTCCATAGAGTCTCCAATATAGGAGTATTATAAGGGCTAGAGCACTCTACCAAAAGTCCCATCATTTTAAAATCAGTATAACAGGTTCCTTCCTAGCTTTATGTTTTAAGGGATATTGTTTTGGACAAGGAAAGTAGGAAGGATCCTTAAGATGAATTTTAACAAAGGTTGTGGTCTCTGGCATAATGAGAAAGGAGCATCAGATGTGGAACTCACACCACAAACAATAAGAGGTCTTGTAAAATATTGCTCAAGGAGTCAGCCCAATGTGCCCCGAATGGTTACTCTATCTTGGGACCAGGGTCCAGGAGAGAAGAACAAGACTGAGAATCAGGCTCCCATATGGAGAAGAAAGCCTATCTGGTGCCTGTCCATGAGCAGGCTTACCCAAGGCTCCTTAAGTTGGGCTTCAGTGATCAGGAGCCATAAAGAAAGCCCCTGGGATCCATTGCTGGGAACTGGTAGGCAACAGCCTCATCCCCTCAGGTTCTGAGGACATCTAGCCTTCCAGTGATTTTCCTGACATAGAAGACAAGGTCAGGAGGTGGTCCAATAGGTGGCCAACACCTCTGGGGACAATCCTTTTATAAATGGCCTTCTTTTCTGTAAGAGAAGCAGGAGGTGAGGGAGTATTCCTGAACACCTGCTATCATGGCTGCCAACAATTCTCCATGTTATTTGTCCTTTTATTACACACTGCAAGAAGTGATGCCTGTCCCATTCATCCCTGTCACTGTCCGTATTCCAGTGTGGTTCTGTGAAGGAGACATCCTGGTCCCAGCTTTTTCCTTACACTGTCACCTTTCCTCTTTGAGACGTGGAGAAATCATTTTTAGTTTCAACAGCCTTTTCTAAGGCCCTTTGTCTTTTCAGGGAAGTCAGGGTTTTTCCTAAAAAGTAGTATAACATTGGGGCTGGGGATGTGGCTCAAGCGGTAGCGCGCTCACCTGGCATGCATGCGGCCCGGGTTTGATCCTCAGCACCACATACAAACAAGGATGTTGTTTCCGCCAAAAAATAAATATTAAAAAATTCTCTCTCTCTCTTTAAAAAAAGTAGCATAACATCTTTTCATGCTAAGTCATAAAGGTTTGATTTCTGTTGGAAGGTCTGAATATATTGTTCTTGCATTTTAGTATAACTACCCAGGTCCTTTTCTATAACCTTTAGTTTAATCAGTGAGAAAGGAACATATACCACTTCAGGTCCAAAGTTTCCTCCCAGCATTTGCCAAAGAGAAAACACACCCTGGGTGAGGGGCCTCTTGGGAGTACTTTGACCATGGGAAAGGCTTGCCTTTGGATAAGAAGGGCATGTTTCCATGTTTCCTCTGTCATGAGCCTTCTTATACTAGGATAATATGGGAAGGTGGGCTTGGGAACTGTAACTTCCTCTTTGGGAGGAGCAGAAGGGATCTCCTTTTCATCTGATGGAGGCTTATTATTCCTTGGCAAGGGACATCCCTTTTCCAGGGGTTTGTTTCTGGTTTAGAGCAGCATACAGCTGACAAGTTCTGAGTTCAAGTTTACAATCCTTTGCAAGTTCAGGGTGATCCCTTAGATAAAAGAACAACTGTACATAAGAAACTTTACTCCATTTACCATCCCATTTACAGAATAGGTCTAATAGTTGAATGGTACCATAGTTCAGAGTCCTCTCTGGTGGCCACTGTTCTCCATCTCCCAGTGAGTACTGAGGCCAGTCTTTAGTATAAAAGAAAATTAAAGATTTTCATTTTAGTTGGGAGTGCAGCTTAGTTTATCCCAGTATTTAAGCAGGCAGGAGAGCGGTAAGCCTCATGGGATTTTGGAGGAATTGGATCCCATCTGGAAACAAAAAGAAAAAAGAAGTCTTGATGGGGGTCACCCAGTCCCCATTTCACTCTTTTATAAATATGGAGGGGTGGCTCTGGCCTGCAAATTAGATAGACTGTCTTGGCCCAAATCTATCTGAGGAGGACCAAATCCAGGTAGGGACAAGCCATAGCCGGTGGTCCAGGACCTCAATATATTTTTTTTTATAACTAAGACATCTTTGGTGTCTCTATTCCTTGAATATGTGTATCTTCCAAAGTACATCTGATACAAAAGGATTGATGGCCACCAGGAGGAAAAAAATTTTAGGAAGGGTATCTGTTTTAGTCATCTTTTTGCTGCTGCAACTGAAAGACCCGACCAGAACAACTGTAGAAGAGGAAGAATTTACTTGAGCACTCACGGTTTCAGAGGTCTTAGACCATAGAAGGCCAGCTCCATTCCTCAGGGCTGGAGGTGAGGCAGAAGAACATCATGGCGAAAGAGTGTGGCAGTGGGAAGTGGCTCACATGATGATCAGAAAGCAGAAAGAGAGAGACTCCACTCGCCAGATACAAATATATACCTCAAAGCCATGCCCCCAATTTCCACCTCCTCCAGCCACACCCTACTACTTCAGTTACCACTGAGTTAATCCCTATCAGGGGATTAATTCACCAATTGGGTTAAGACTCTCACAACCCAATCATTTCTCCTCTGAACCTTCTTGTATTGACTCACACATTAGCTTTTGGGAACAAATCATGTCCAAACCATAACAGTACCCTTCTGGTAAACAATTCTTTTGTCACCTTTTTATTTAGGGGATCACTTGCAAGCCTAGTAAAAAGGAATTTTACCCAGGAATACGATGTTAAAACCTGTTAGTCCTTGCTTCCCAAAGCATTCTGGAAAATGGAAGAGATGATCAGCCACTATCATAGTTGCCTCTTCCTTCCCCCTCCCCAATCTCTTTGTATGTATTTCATGCTTTTATAAGACAGAGTGAGATGATCACTTAAGTAACTCAGAAAGAAAGAAAATTCTCTCACTCTGGGACTGGTCTTCTTGCCAAGGACAATTCTCTCAGAAAAAATGACAGGAAGGACATAAATGACCCTGAAAGAATCTCACATCTGAAGATAGCATTCTCTCTCACAAAAGGTAAAGAAACTGTACCAATGTTGTCTAGGACAATGGAGTATATTGTTTATTCTGTACCCACTCAAACAGGCTCGGAACTCAGCCTGCTAGCCATGGCTGGGGTCTCCCCAGCCTTAGAGAACCAAAGAAGTATAGGACAATCCATGATCACTTTCCCAGTCTCATCAGCCATTTGACATGACTGTTGGGGACCTTTGAGTTGGTGATCCCAATCCTAGATGAGCCCCTAGTTTTGTTACCATCTATGGGTCTTGGAATACTTGTCTCTGTTCAGCAAAGTATTGAAGAACAGCACACAAAGACAGCAGCAAGCAGCAAAAGTAAAATAACACAGTAACAGACTTCTCCACAGAGAAAGTGCCCCAGAGCCCAAGTCAGATAGGAAAGTGCTGACTTGTACTTTTCATAGGTTTGGGGCCTTGGGGTCCATGATTCTAACCCAGTTCTTCACAGAATCTCCCACTACAGAGAAGGATTACAATTTTTGTTTGGGTCCCCCCAAAATATTTAGGAATATGGAGTGTTGTGCTTCATTTCTGGTCAGTATAAGAGTTTGTTCACTTACTTGTGACTTTTCTGGGCAGAATCTCACTGGAGACGCAGCACAAGGCTCCTCATCTTAAAGGGCAAGTGTCACAGGTCATTGTTGTCAGATGTACCCTGAAAGAGTCAACAGATCTTTTGTTAGAATCTCCCTTCATTCCGACAAAACTAAGTAATGCAGAAACTATCATTCTTAAAGAGGATTATGTCTTCCCAGCATTTATTCTGGTTTTTAAACCTCCAACCCCAGCTCTGGGAAGCAAAAAAAAAATTACATTCTTCCATACAAGAGGGCTGACTTCTTATTCCCTTCCACTTTACAGAAGACTGAGAACAAATCCAAGAGGGAGAGGTTCAGGAAGGGGAGACAAATGAGGGAGGTACAAAGTACTACTTGTATCTCAAAAACAAACGCTAGGCAAAAGTTGAAGAATGTGCCCATAATCTAAGGGGTTATGGGAATCACCTGGAGTCAATGTTTTTATATTCTATGTATGGGCTGGTTTTTACTGGTGTGTCCTCTGGCTTGAGATTTTCAAACTCCTGTTTCCAGCCAAATTGTTTTCTCCCTTCTACCCATACTGTTTCCTGGCATGGATAAGAAGACTACTTTATTCCCATTAACACAAGCAGTGGACAGGGAGAGCAGTAAGAATTAATGTTTACTAAGACCCTATCAAAGGCTAAGCATTGTTAAGCATTGCCTAGATTTATTCAACCCCAGCCCAATCCCCTCTGAAGTGGATATCATTGTTCAAGTTTCACAGAGGCTCAGAGAAAGAAATTACCCTAGATCACATAGCCAATAGGATTCAAATCCAGTCCAGAATGATTTCCATGTGCACCCCATGAATTGATGTTGTTTGAATAGAGTCCAAGAGATTTGTAAGTAGATGAGAGGGCTGGAATAAGAATCTTTGAATTATTTGACCACTTCATGGCCTAAGAGGAAAAGAAAAGGCTAAAAAGCAGACAGACATGGAAGGAAAAAAACCAAAATAACATTTTTAATTTAATATTAAATGTAAAGGTGAGAAATTCAAAAGGTGGGAACAGAGTTGAAATGTATTAATAAGGTCTAAATAATATCAGTTCTATTTAATATGTCTAGTATATGGGTATATGATTCCATTGTCTATCCCTGTGTAGCAAAATGCCCCCGAATGATGAAATGATGATTTATTTCTCCTGATTATAGATAGGGTTGACTGGGTTCAACTAGGAAGTTCATTTTCTCCATCTGCTTTCCATGATGGTCACTCCCTAGACTGCATTCAACTGAAAGTTCAGGTGAATTAAGAAGACCCAAGAAGTTTTTGCTCACATGGTGATATCTCATTGCTCTTTTGAGGTAGACTGGAAAAAGTAGTCCCCCAAACTTCATTCACTTCCTAATCACCAGCATCTGTACTATTACCTTGTATGGTAAAAGATGTGATTAAGTTCAGAATCATGTGTTTATCCTCAATTACCCCAGTGGGCTCCTAATACAATCACAAGTTCCCATGTAAGAGAAAAGCAGAAAAGAGTTTTCACCCAGAGTCAAGCATAGCGGAGAAGGAGATGTGAAGACAGGCAGAGTTTCCAGTAGTGTGACCAAGGAATGCTAGCAGAAGCTAGAAGAGGCACGAAACAGTGTCTCCTATGGGGTATCCAGAGGAAAGTGTGACTCTGCCAACATCTTGATTTCAGACTTCTGGCCTCCAGACCAGGAGAAAATAAATTTCTGTCACTTTAAGCCACAAAATATGTGGAAATTTGTTAAAGAAGTCACAGGAAACTAAAACATCTTGCCATTAGCCTCTGCATGTAAATAATTTGGGCTTTCCCACAGCAAGTGGTCTCAAATTAGTTATATTTCTCCTATGGCTTTGGGTTCCCCTGAGCAAAAGCAAAATTTGCCAGCCTTTTTGAATGCTAGGTTCAGAACTGAAACAACATGATATTCACTGTAAGTCATGAGGGTGGCAAAGTATGCTCCTCCTCTTGATAGGCGGAGTGGCATGCTGTACAGGAAGAGAAGAAATTAGAGCAGCCATCTTCAGAATTATCCACCATGGTATGAAACATGCATTAATATTCCATGAAGTCAGGTTGAATTCTCTGAGCATTAAGAATTATTTGTCTTATTTTAAAAAACATTTTTATTATAAAAACAATGCATACACTCAGAGAAAATTGAAAAGTATAATGTTATAGAAGAATATCAAATAAAAACCAAAATTTATCCCAGTCCCACATTCCACTTCCATAAAATTCTTAAAAACTCAACTCCATATAAAGCACAAACTAGAATCTATAGATAGAGCGAAGATATAGCCATTCCATAGACAAGCCCACTATTAAAAACAAGACACAGAAAAAGAAGTGAAGAGTACAGATAATGATCATGGGGCTGGTAGAGAGAGGAGTGAGCTAAAGGGGTATCTGTGAATATCCTCAGTTCCCAAATGGACAATGACTGTGATTCTGTCACTTTAACTCCCACCCAGCAACAGAGTTAATGGTGGTTTGCATGCCCTGAAATATGGTTACATATTTCCTCTCTCTCTCTTTTTAAAAGATGCAAGGATGGTAAACTTAAACTCAATGTAGCCCTTTAAAAAAATCACACGTCCAAAATTCAGTGTGGTTCAAAAGGTTATCATTTTAATTATACATATAAATATATTCTATTCATGCCACACTTTCTAGCAATTACTAGGGTCATTCTTTACTTTCTCTGGGGTCGCAAAAATATTGAAACGAACTGTCGTGTGGGCGGGGAGTAGGTACTGGGGATTGAACTCAGGGGCACTCGACCACTTAGCCACATCTCCAGCCCTATTTTGTATTTTATGTAGAGACAGGGTTTCACTGGGTTGCTAAGTGCCTCTCCATTGCTGAGGCTGGCTTTGAACTCATGATCCTTCTGCCTCAGACTCCCGAGCCGCTGGGATTACAGGAGTACACCACCACACTCGGTTTACAATGGTTTTCTGAGTGTCTAGTGATAGACATAATCTAGAAGATTCTCTGACAAAGTATTGGAACACTGAAGATAAATATAGAACACTACATACAATCTTTAACAATGTATCTCTTGTCAAGATATTCTGGAAGACAATCCTGGTCAAGGGCATTCTGTCTGAAACCTGAGGCAGATAGTCGCCTGGATTTATGAAGTGAGGGAGCAAGTAGAATAAGAAAGAAATCAATTAGAAATGGATTTTTTGTTCTCAGAGTACTATAGAAAGCACAAACTTCCCTCTCAGTCTTTGTCTTTTTAAATGTGATATCCCATCCATTAGATGCTTATCATGTAGTTATTCTTTTGGGTTCTTTCTTTTTCCCAGCTTGCTTAGACAGAACAATACTGTTTTTTTGCAGAAATTCACCACAGGAAAAGAATTTGGGAGGAGGGGAGAATCAGAACTGAGGCAGAATAAAGATGTGGGAGAAGTTTATCTTCAATGTTCTTAATCCTCTTTCAAATGCCCTCCATATTTACCTGTCTCATGAACAATACCCCAGAAGTACACCCTAAGACAAGAAGATCAGTGCAAACAGTTTTAAATGAAAAGGTAGTCCCAGGAAGCCCTGGGAAGGAACTAAGGACAATGGAAGAGTGGAAGGAAGGAAACCAGTAAAAGACGTATTACCAAGTAAATTACCATTAGGGCAATAGAGGCTCAGCCCCAGTGAGGACTCCAATAGGATATAGAACTTTTTAGTTCTCTAGCAAGAAACAAACAAACAAAAAAACTGGGGTGTTTGCCCAATAACCTGGTTTATCACTGGACTGTGGTCTGTTCCCAGAGTCATTAAGTGCCCAACTCTTCTGACCCTCCCTATGGGCCAAGAGAAAGCCTTCACATGGAGTTTTGGAGATCTTTGCAGTGGGATGTGGGTGTGCAATGGAATGTAAAGGACCAAGGTAATTCTTTGGGATGTTTGTTTGTTTGTTTGTTGTTTTTATACCAGGAATTGAGCCTGGGGCGTTTAACCACTGAGCCACATCCCCAGACCTTTTAAAAATATTTTATTTAGAGACAAGGTCTTGCTGAGTTGCCAGTCCTTAGCCAAGGCCTGGCTAAGTTGCTGAGGCTGACTTTGAACTTGCAGTCCTCTTGCCTCAGCCTCCCAAACCACTGGGATTACAGGCATGCGCCACCGCACAAGGACCAAGCTTATTCAAGTAGATATCAACAATGAATGCTACACCATCCTATCCTTTATTTTGTCAGTATTTCCAAAGCTTGTTCCTTGAATGTATTTCTCTCCTTCATCACAGCACTTTAAAGTTAGGAATCTTTTCTTCTACAGGGAGAAGAAAGTATGAGGGAAGAGTTGAGTAAAAGAGGAACCCTTGAGCATGTGGTGATATTAAAAAACTGAATAACAATTGTTTTGATGAGGTTTGGGCCATAGAGGAAAGTTCTTGCAGAACTTATGGGAGTACAGGGGGAAATTTTTGTCTTGTATTTGTACTAAAGAGCTCTGCTCTGATTAATGATAATGACTGATGGGAATAATTCAGTGAGATTTGTCTTTCCTTGTCTCCTTATACCATAGTCTAATATCTGCATAATGTTCCAGGCAAGAAAAGAAAAACCAGTAAATATATACACTTTGTGTTTAAGCCTTCTATTTCCAAGGCAATTTTTTTATGAATAACCTAAATATAACTGGGATCCCATGTGGTCCAGCCTTGAGATGGTGTCATATTAAAAGAAACATAGTTAGTTCAGATCAGTCTAACAAAAAGCAATTCAAATCTTTACTCAGAAAGTTAAATCTTTATGCACACACACACACACACAAAATTCTATAATTTTCTCTCCTCGTCTCTGCCTTCTTGGAATCATTCACAGTAATGACAGTTGTTCCCCTAAACTTTATTTCCCACTCTTTATTTCCATATACCAACACCCTCTACTCCCCATAGTTTCTCTCTCGCTCTCTCTCCTTGTCTCTTTCCCTTTAAACAAAATCTATTAAAACACTTTACACTTTATCAGTTTTATTTCTTGTCCCTTTTTACTACATATACCTTCACAGAAGTGCCATTCAGAAGTCATTGCAAGATGTGTGTGTGCCGAGAGGAGCAGGGAAGGGGGTATAATGTATAAAGTAAGGAAGTTTGCAAAGACTAACTCCTATATTAATTTTGTCTGTGTTTTACTTTCTATATCTATCTGTATCTACCTACTTCTACCTATCAATCATCTATCTATTGGAAAAAGACTAAAACAAACACAGTGGAAGGTCCCCAGTTTCCATTTCTCCCTTTACTCATTTTTCTTCCCCTGGGCCAGTTACCTCCTATACCTCATTACTTTAGCCAATAAAATGCAAGACTTGCATAAGCAGCTCTTTAAAGA